ACATTTTTGTTTTTGAAAATGGCAAGAAATTCAAAATCTACGACTTTGGAATGGCACAGTTGAAATCAAATTCGAATACTAATACTGGAAAACTATTTATCAAAGCTCCAGAAATAAGTTCAAACGAGGAATTCAGCTACAGCAGTTAAGTTGATATCTGGTCTCTCGGAGTGACTCTCTACTACTTGTGCACTAAGTAATTTCAATACTAAGGCAAGACGTTATCTGAGATAAAGAAACAAGATTAGACAGCTTATATTAGTCTTAATGGATAGTACAAAGTATTCGAGCCCCTTTTAAATAAAATGCTTCAGTTTAATCCAGCTTTGAGAATAGACGCACTATAGGTGCTGTGTGAAGTTTGTAAGATTAATAATGAACCTGTGAACAAGCATTTGGAAATAGAGGAGCAAAAGCAAAGTTATCCCGATACTACTAGTTTTAATGAGGGCTAGACTACTTTTGCTTTAACGATAAGATCAACAAATGCTTTTGTCAATGAAATTATTTAAAAGCTAGGGGATTTTGACTTTTAGCCAAAGCCTAAATACACAGATAAAATAAAAAGGATTGCTCAGCCAATGATTATTCTAGAGAATGGAGAAAAGTATGAGGGAGAATGCGATGTTGATAGTAATGTGAGAGATGGCAAGGGAAGGAATATATATGCAGATGGATCGCTTTACGATGGCTATTGGAGAAATGATAAAGCCAATGGCAGAGGTAGACTAATACATGCAAATGGAGATGTCTACGAAGGCGAGTGGAAGGATGACAAAACTGATGGATTTGGAAAGTACTATCATATTGATGGCTCTTGCTACGAGGGACACTGGAAAGAGGATAAACAACATGGTCATGGTAAAGAGACATGGCCTGATGGTGCTTGCTATGAAGGTGAATACAAGGAAGGCAAGAAAGACGGATATGGAAAGTTTTCATGGGCTGATGGATCAACATACCAAGGCTAATTTCATGATAACAATATCGAGGGTGAGGGAGTCTACACCTGGGCTGATCACAGATAGTACAATGGTAAATGGGTCAACAATAAAATGCATGGCACTGGAGTTTTTACCTGGGCTGATGGCAGGAAGTACGTTGGGTAATACTTCGATGATAAGAAATAAGGTTAGGGTGTATTCTAATGGCCAGATGGGAGATAATACGATGGTAGCTGGTACAATGGCAAGCAGCATGGATTTGGTACATATACAACCACCAAGGGAGAGACGAAGAAAGGAGAGTGGAAAGACGGAAAGCGAGTCAGGTGGCTCTCAGGTAACTAGGATAATGACGCTGGAGACAATATCCCTGATGCCCAATGACTCTAATCTTATAAAATAAGGATAATAAACCACTTAAATTGTTTACTTTAGACAAGAAGGACTGTTTTATTTTGTTTAATAAAGGTACTTAAATCATCTTATGATATTCTCATGATGCATCCTAGTGGGGTTTTGGGGTTTTGGGGTTTTGGGG